TTCTCCACAGATGTCTCTGATTGGCTGTTCAGAGCAGACTGAGTACATCAACAGGAAGGCGGCAGAGATAAATGCCACCTGATAAGTCGATGTTCTCTCTTCTCTCTTCTCTTTTTTTCTCCTTAACAAGCAAAGACTTCGTGCAATAACTAAAAGTTGAATTGTGTTCATAGTCCTGCATTTCAGCCCAACGATGACAGAAGATGGTCAATATTTATAGGACAGAAAGACAAGATATCAGGGAGGATTACAAGAAATACATTACCCATAATGCAATGCACATACTGGTAATATTTAGATTTATTGGCAAAAAAATCCAAATTTGTTCAAACAATCATTGAATATAGAGATTAAAAGTCAAGAGTGCAGATAAAATACCTTCAGTTGTCAAATGCACAGTCAAATAAAACCGTTTTCAGCCTGGATTCAGAGTTGAGGCCTGTCTCACCTCTGCAGGAAGCTCCCCACAATAAATACACTACATTACCCATAATGCACTGCACACATTGCTGCCTATAGATGTTAAAGGAACTGTGAGGTCCTGGTTGGAGGGGCAGAGATGGGACATGGGATGTTGAATCCATCACCTTCAGCACCACGGACAGAGGCAGTCTGTAGTATATGATTTAACTAGAACATTTCTGAAGAAATTTTGGAGGGGGGGCCACAAGCTGCCCGTCCAGGAACAGGTCGGCCAATCGATATTTGGGCTCTCTGTAATGTGGGCTCGCGCTTATGAGAGGGCCTGAGGGAGAGACGCAGTGATGGAGGGACCCGGCTTAGCTCTGGGGCCCGCTGACCGAATACGGATGGGGTGGGCAGGTCGGGGGTCACATTGGCTGAAAGCTGAGAAAAAGACCTACGCAACGAGGTATGACAGGGCCCCGGTCCGGTTCCGCCCTGGTTGGGTCCGATCCCCAGAACCAGAACCAGAACCGGGCTCTGACTAAAGCCCTCTAAGAAATAACGTATTTCTTAAAAAAATCACTGAGAGCGGGCTTCGCCCGCCTTGAAGCAAAAGCAATGTATTGCTTAAATCTTTCTAAGCGGGCTTCGCCCGCTTGGAACCAGGAGCACAGCTCACAGAGCTCTGCAGAGACCCAAAGCACTGCGGTGGCTCTCTGCTGGTCGCCACGGCGACAGCAGCCAGCAGCCAGGCCAAAGTCTCAACTCCCACACCTGTGACTCATCAGTAAGCCATAGCTGACAGTTTTGATCAAAAGTTGCCTCCGAACGGCTGTAAGCTGTTCGAAAACTATATCACAAGACTGAAAAATTCTTGGACCGTGAGCGGGCCGAGAATTTCAGGTCTCAGCACGTCTGTTTATTTTTCGCCTGCTTCCAGCGGTTATTTTTTTATGGCAATTTCAAAATGAGGGCTGTTTTGTCTCTGGCGAAAATTATCTCTCCTTTCTTCCATTCAAATCCTATTAGAGAGGGTCGGGAAAGTCTGGACTCTGGGCCCGATTGCCGGATAACCATAAGGCCGAGGTCAAAAGCGGGCACATCGGCGGAAAGAGGACACCCGCGGCTACGTTTTGAGGCCATTTTGGTGACTTTTTGTCCATGAACATCACCACAGCCAGCTCAGAGGCTTTAACGAGCTGAGTTAGAGTGCGGGCCAGGATCTCTGATTTTCTGAATTTCACTAAAACGTCAACAGCGATTGCGGGGAAACGGTGCGAGATCTGGCCTCGTGGCTCCGATAAGGCGGAGGCCCGTCTTTCGTGTCCCGTTCAATTTCGAACGAGGTCTCTCGGACGTCGTGGGGCAGAGCGAGCATCTTTCGGCTTTTTTTAGGCCCGTTTGTCGGCGGTCCCGATGCATTCCTATGGGAAAACGCTCGTCACTTTTTCGCCGTTTACTCGGAAACGCCCGCTCCTTTGAGAAAGTAGAAGTAATAGCACGCATGGCTAGGTGGGTCCGGACGCGTGTGCCGACTTTGGGCCCGATCCGTCGAACCGTGCGGGAGGAGTAGTGGTCCGCGGAAACAGGAGAACGATAAGAAGTCGAAAAGTAATAGGTGGGCCTTGCCTCCGGCAGTGGCCCCCCTAATAAAGGCACTTCACATTCATGATTCTAAATTCAATAAAAGCATTTTAATCATCAG